TGGTGGGCATTTGGATATAGAGGGTAAAAAAAAGTGTGAGGTAAAGAAGACGGCTGAATGTTTTTCATGGATGACCAGGCACCAAAATAGAAAATAGTGGAAGAAAATTAGGCTTTCCAGGTATTTTGTTTTCAACAGTTGGATTTGAGGTGTTACTAAAAATTCAGGTAGAATTTTGCAGTGGGCAGTTGAATCTATAGTTCTGGAATTCAGGGAGAAGACCCAGATTAGAAATATATCGATACCTTGGGAGTCACGTTGAAATTAGTGGGAATTTGGTTCAGGCTATTTCTCCTAAGCAAAATGCTTGAATTAGCTTGCTCCTTGCTTTGTTATTCTGTTCACTGAAAATGAGAAAGCCATTTAATGCAATTTCACTACAGAACACTATAGCTGGTAAAGAATCCACTATAGAATAGTATTATCCATTAGAAGTTTTTCTGATGATAGAAACATTCCATATTGCCACTCTCAAAACAAAATTCAGAAGCCTTTGACAGTGTGGATCACAACAAATAGTGGGAAATTCTTAAAGCAGATGGGAATACCACACCGCCTTACCTGCCTCCTGAAAAATCTGTATGCAGGATAAGAAGCAACAGTTAGAACTATACATGGAACAATGAACTGGTTCCAAATTGGGAAAGGAGTATGGCAAGTCTGTATTTTGCCATCCTGTCTATTATGCACAGTACATAATGCAAAATGCCAGGCTGGCTGAAGCACAGACTGGAATCAAGATAGCAAGGAGAAATATCATTAACCTGAGATATTAATATGACACCACCCTTATGGAGGAAAGCTAAAGGAACTAAAGATGATCAACTAACTGTTGATGAAAGTGAAACATAAAGTGAAAAAGATGGCTTAAAACTTAATATTCAACAGACTAAGATCATGGCATCTGGTCCCATCACTTCATGGCAAATAGATGGGGAAACAATGGAAATAGTGACATACTTTATTTTTGGGAGCTCCAAAATCACTGCAGACGGTGATTGTAGCCTTAATTAAGACACTTGCTCCTTGGAAGAAAAGCTATGACAGCATATTAAAAAGCAGAGACATTACTTTGCCAGCAAAGGTCTGTCTAGTCAAAGCTATGCTTTCTTCTGTAGTCATGTATGGATGTGAGAGTTGCTCCATAAAGAAACTTGAGCACAAAAAAACTGATGTTTTTGAACTGTGGTGTTGAAGAAGACTCTTGAGAGTCCCTTGGACTGCAAGGAGATCAAACCGGTCAATCCTAAAGGAGATCAGGCCTGAATATTCATTGAAAGGACTGGTGCTGAAGCTGAAATTCCAATACTTTGGCCACCTGATGTGAAGAACTGACTTATTTTAAAAGACCCTGATGCTGGGAAAGACTGAAGGCAGGCGGAGAAGGGGACAACAGAGGGTGAGATGGTTTGATGGCATCACTGACTCAATGGAAATGAGTTTGAGCAAGCTCCAGGAGTTGGTGATGTACAAGGAAGACTGGCGTGCTGCAGTCCATGCGGTCTCAGATTTGGACACAACCGAGTGACTCAACTGATTATGTCTATTGAGCACCTGAGCTGTGGTATATGTGATCGAGGAAATAAGTTTTAAAGCTAATTTTAATGAATTTAATGTTTAACAGCTATATTTTGCCATATGTAGCCAGGTGTCCCCTCACCTGCCCCTTTTTTTGTTTGTTTTTGGCCATGCTGAATAATTGCATGGCTTGCTGAACCTGACCAAGGATTGATCCCAGACCCTCAGTAGTGAAATAGGAGAGTCCTAACCACTAGACTGCCAGGGAATTCCCAACCAGGAGCCTCGTTTTATTGGATTGGCTTCCCTGGTGGCTCAGCTGGTAAAGAATCCACCTGCAATGCAGAAGACCTGTATTCAACCCATGGGTTGGGAAGATCCCCAGGAGAAGGGAACAGCTACCCACTCCTGTGTTCAGGCCTGGAGAATTCCATGGCCTGCGTAGTCCATGGGATTGCAAATACACAAAATTGAGAGACTTTCTTTTTCACTTTTCACACCTAGAGAATGGACAGAGAAGAAAAGCAGAATGGATACCCCTGGTGGGTATAGTAACTAAGAATTAGGCTACAGATGATACATTTTAGTAGGTGGAGGCAAGAAGGTGCTAAATAAAATATGCCTTGTGCTCATGCTCAGTTGTGTCCAATTCTTTCCAACTCATTTGACTGTAGCCTCCAGGCTTCTCTGCCCATGGGATTTTTCAGGCAGGAATACTGGAATGGGTTGCTATTTTCAGGGGATCTTCCCAACTGAAGTATTGAACCTTTATCTCCTGCGTTGCAGGCAGATTCTTTATCACTGAGCCAGGGGGGAAGCCCCCAAATATGACTACCCATGTATATTACTAACATTCCCCCATATCAAGAACATGGCAGGTAGGATTGCAAGAGATGGTATGCCATACATGAAGATAGGGATTTGAAAGTAGGAAAAAATAAAAATAGCATTTGTTAATATTTTGTATTAGATAAAGCATTTATATCGTCCAGGTTTAGAATTATGATCCTAAAAATTAGTCTGCCTTTATCCTGCCTCTTCACATGGGACAGAAACTTCCTCCATATGATATGGTCTAGTAGTTAGAGTTTAAACTATGCATTCTGGCAGTCAGAGTTCAAAACTCAGTTCTGCTCTATATTAGCATAATGACTCTGTGAAACATCTTGTCCTTGTCATTCAACTAAGTATTAGCCAGAGATCAAATTGCCAACATCTGCTGGATCATCAAAAAAGCGAGAGAGTTCCAGAAAAACATCTATTTCTGCTTTATTGACTACGTGAAAGCCTTCAACTGTGTGGATCACAATAAACTGTGGAAAATTCTAAAAGAGAAGGGCATACCATATGCAGGTCAGGAAGCAACAGTTGGAACTGGACATGGAACAACAGACTGGTTCCAAATAGGAAAAGGAGTATGTCAAGGCTGTGTATTGTCACCCTGCTTATTTAACTTATATGCAGAGTACATCATGAGAAATGCTGGGCTGGAAGAAGCACAAGCTGGAATCAAGATTGCTGTGAGAAATATCAATAACCTCAGATATGCAGATGACACCACCCTTATGGCAGAAAGTGAAGGACTAAAGAGCCTCTTGATGAAACAGAAAAAGGAGAGTGAAAAAGTTGGCTTAAAGCTCAACATTCAGAAAACTAAGATCATGGCATTCGGTCCCATCACTTCATGGCAATTAGATGGGAAACAGTGGCTGACTTTATTTTTCTGGGTTCCAAAATCTCTGCCAATGGTGATTGCAGCCATGAAATTAAAAGACGCTTATCCTTGGAAGGAAAGTTATGACCAACCTAGACAGCATATTAAAAAGCAGAGATGTTACTTTGCCAACAAAGGTCCATCTAGTCAAAGCTATGGTTTTCCCAGTGGTCATGTATGGATGTGAGAGTTGGACTGTGAAGAAAGCTGAGCGCCGAGGAATTGATGCTTTTGAACTGTGGTGTTGGAGAAGACTCTTGACAGTCCCCTGGACTTCAAGGAGATCCAACCAGTCCATCCTAAAGGAGATCAGTCCTGGGTGTCCATTGGAAGGACTGATGCTGAAGCTGCAATTCCAAGATGTTGGCCACCTGATGCGAAGAGCTGACTCATTTGAAAAGACCCTGATGCTGGGAAAGATTGAGGGCAGGAGGAGAAGGGAACGCAGAAGATGAGATGGTTGGATGGCATCACTGACTCAACGGACATGAGTTTGGGTAAACTCCGGGAGTTGGTAAAGGACAGGGAGGCCTGGTGTGCTGCAGTTCGTGGGGTCGCAACAACTGAGCAACTGAACTGAACTGAAGTATTAGTCCAAGGTTAAAATCCGGGTTGTTTTAAGATTTAAATCATAGAGCACATACTGAGAAAAGTGCTTTGAATACACTGAAGAGTTAATAAATGTTACTATTGTTAACCTTAACAGCAAAGTTGGAGAAATGTGTTTAATTGAGACTATTTGATGACGCTAGTGGTAAAGAACCTGCCTGCCAATGTAAGAGATATGGGTTCAATTCCTGGGTCAGGAAGATCCACTGGAGGAGGAAATGGCCACTCACTCCACTATTCTTGCCTGGAGAATCCCATGGACAGAGCAGCCTACTGGGATATAGTCCATAGGTTGTTTGACTCTGTGTCAGAGTCAGACACAACTGAAGTGACTTAGCTTGCATGCATTTCAAAATCTTGGCTTCCCTGATAGCTAGGACAAAGAATCTGCCTGCATGGGAGACCTGGGTTCAGTCCCTGGGTCAGAAAGATTCCCTGGAGAAGGAAATGTCACCCCACTGCAGTATTCTTGCCTGGAGGATTCCATGGACGGAGGAGCCTCATGGGCCACAGTACATGGTATCACAAAGAGTCGGACATGACAGAGGACCAGCAAAGTTTGAAAGCTTAATTAAAAACATTCTATGGATTGGCATTACTGATTGATATATCCCTACATTCATGCAATGTTCTTATTTTAGATAGAAATGTCTTATATATAAGATCACCAATTTCATTTCATTAATCTTTTTGATGGGGAGAAATATTTTATCAAAAGAAAGTTTAAAGCATTTTTATTATTTCTGTGAGATAGAATTAGTAGGTTTAGGTAATTTTCTTCTATTTTGCAACTCAGTTTTTTAAAAGTATCTCTCTAAATTTCAACTGTTATTCACACCAATTCTTTTTTGTAATTTCTTTGGGCTTACAATGGATAGGACAAAAAATGATAATGTGGTTCCAGACTTAGTAAAACAAAATGCCATAAAGGAGAAATATAATTTTTAAAAATATTTTCATAAAGATGTCTTTCTTGTCTTTGATTCTCTTTACATTTCAGAGTTTCAAGATTATCCTGCCAAAATGTTTTGTCTCCATACATTTAAAAAAGAATTGAAAGTTTATTAATCAAATATGTGTTTAACAATATGATTCTCCATTTCCCAGAAATCTGAAAATATAAATATGACAATTTTCTCTTTCTTATTCATTTTAACAGTAATTCCTGAATTTGTAACACAAGTCAATGTTGCCTTGGAAGCCTTAAGTAAAAACTCTTTGGATGTGTTTGATGATAGTCAATTCGTGGACATCTCAAAGAAGATCTATGATACAATTCATGATATCAGATGTTCAGTCATGATGATTCGGGTAAGTCTGCTTTACCTTCCATTGAAGTATTGTAGCACTCTTCACCATCTGGAATCCCTGGAATGATTGCAAGAAATGTTTTATTTCTGTGCTGTAATGTCAATGCTGAAATCCATTAGAACTTTAGAAATTCATAGGTATCCCCAAAGTCAGATTTGCTGTCACGAACAATGCTTTTACTTATGTATATGGTTATAACTTATGCAAATGAGCACATTTAACTGCCACATGTGCAGAAATGATAGAATTCATTGTGTACAGGATTTGCTGAAGTGTCACATAGCATGATCAGAAGCCAAAGAACAATACGTAAAGTAATTTCTTTCTTTCCTTGAATAGAAGGAGAGGATCTTTCTAATCACTATATTGAAATGTATAGGAAAGTGTATTTAAAACAAGGAATTTCTGTGTCTGCATCCTCTCATATTAGAACATAGAATCAGTGGTCTGTAAGAAATCTCACTTGGAGCTGCCAGGAACAACAAATGTTTGAGTGTTTGTCTGTTTGGGAGAATATATACCATCTTCCCAAATGTGATAGTGAGTCATTTGTTTCAAGCACACTGAATATACAGAAACCAGGGGTATTTGTTCTTCCTTAAAATGTTAATTAGAGGTTTTCTGTGTGTGAGTGTGTGTGTGCACACACGTTTAATATTTATTTGGCTGTGCTGGGTCTTAGTTGTGGCATGTGAACTCTTAGTTGAGGCATGCGAACTCTTAACTGGGGCGTGTAGGTTCTCGTTCCCTGACCAGGAAGAGAACCTGGGCCCCCTGCCTCTGGAGGACTGAGTCTTAGCCACTGGAACACCAGGGAAGTCTCTCTCTCTCTTTTTTAAAAAATTAATACTATTAAAAACAGCAACAACAACAAAAACAGCACAAGTAAAGATATGGAGAGAGATTATTTTGGAATTGGTTCACCTGGAGGCAGAGTCAAGTATTTGTGTTATCATTAGTCTATTTAGGAAAAAAAATGAGACAGAGAAGCAATAAGGTGTAATTATGAGTCACTGCAGGCAACTGGTGACTGAACCTGGAGAACTCTAGCAGAATCCTATGGAACATATCTCAGAGTTATGTTACCTTTGGGGAATAAAATCCAATATATTTACCTATTCACACTTGGTTAAAGGCCACCTCTCCTCAGAGGCATTACCAGAGCCTCCTACCGTGCCAGCCAAGCCACTCTCAGGCAGGGGCTGGGTAAGGTGAGTTGGTAGAAGTGGTAAGCGCAGTTTGTAAGCATGAGTAGAGTTTGATTTGATGCCTCTGGCCTGAACTGTTAGTATGGCTGTGAGGTGGGACTGCATGTGCTGAGGAGATACGGGTGGACATCCACAGTATCTGACAGGCCTGAATGTCATAGTCAGGTTACATGGAGGAGTCTACAGAAATGGAGACAGTAGAGGGCCTTGTAGGGAAAGGGGCCAACAAAAACCAAGGTGCATGCTAGGCCAGATGGACATTTATGGAAGAAACAGAAAGACAAAAGTCTAGACGTGTCAAGACATAGGACCTAGTACTTAAGATCTTGGGAAAACCTTCAAGCAAGCCAGGTATACATAAGAGAGAAACCTCAGAATACATATTTATGAGCAAAATATGCCTGCAATGCAGGAGACCCGGTTTTGACCCCTCAGTCAGGAAGATCCCCTGGAAGAGGGCATGGCGACCCACTCCCGTACTCTTACCTAGAGAACCCCATTGGCAGAGGAGCCTGGCAGGCTACAGTCTGCAGGGTCACAAAGGGTCAGACACGACTGAAGTGACTAAGCAGCAGTAATAGCAGTACTGTACTAGTAGTATATCTGAACTGCAAAGTACCTTTGCCAAATGTTTTCTTCTAACAAAGATTTTTGTGCTTTACCTGTGTGAACTAGTGGGGTAGTATTAATTCAGATCTGGGAGGATAGGTGGAACCAGGAAGAAACATACATCATGCTGAAAGTATGAGCAAGACCCATGAACTTCAGGAGATAGCTTTACAAGGGTGAAACCTTGACATTTCCAGTATCCCTGGATGGGTATTTATGAAGTGAAGATAAACCAGTGAAATAGCCTAGGTGAAGGGCAGGGAATGCATTTTTTTTTTTTTAAACTGCAAAAGCTATTTAGGGATAAAAGTCTTATAACCTCTCCCACTTGGATATTCTAGTATTTAAAATTTTTCTCATTATCAAAATGGCTTACTTATAGCAAATTAAATTATCTGACCATATTTCTATATATCCTTCAAACCTGGCAGTCCTCATTAAGGCAGAATAATTTATTATAATTATTAAGAGCCTTTGAGAGCTATAACTTGTCCATGTAGTCATCTTTTTTTCAAGGTAAATACTTCAACTTTTTCTCATAGGAATACTTAAGTATTTTTTGTTTTTCACTAGTCCTTATTTACCTTTTCAATAAACTTTTCAAGTGAGACTATCAAAAGGCATACTCTAATTAGAGCCTGTCCAATGTCAAATAAAGTAGCTTCTCACATTACTGCTATTAATATAATCAACTACTGTTAACCTATTGCTACCTTCTTAAACACAATAATTATTGTATAGATGATTTTTTTTTTAATACTGTCATTGCCTGTATATCCCTTCTCCATTTCAATTTGATGTGTTTGTTCTTGGCCCCAAATCCTAATAAACTTCATCATATTTCTGAATGATTCTTCATGTAATTTATCAGTTTGCTTTTAACTTTGGTTGGTGACCATACCTAAATTAATATTAATTAGAAGTATAAGGCTATAATCTGAGTTCCTTCATCTAGATTATTAATAAAAATATTAAATCATATTGGCCCTTATTCCCTGTCAAATAGCTCCAATTAAGGGCATTAGTGCTAAGATCCCTTAGAATCTGATATTCCAATCATTGAGAACATACTGTTAAGTGTATGGTTTGAAACTTTTGTTTTTTTTGAATGTTAAGGTAAAGATACTCTTTCATCAAACACACTTCAAAGCTTAAATAAATAAATAAAAGAGATAAAGCAGAGCTCTTGTATTTAAAGCTTTAAGGATGGTCTAGAGGCCCATCATTTCTATCTTGCCCCCACCCTTCCCCTTCCCCACTTCCTTTTCTAGGCAGCCTCTAAAGGTACCTGGATGCACATCTACAGGGATTGTTTAGAGTATAACCCATAAACCTTTGTACTTAACTGCTAATTGGATTATAGGATGAAAATAGAAGCCTAACTCAGATGTAATTAATGAAAATCTGCCCCCCACCCTGCTTTGAGGACTGTCCCTTTATCATAGAAGATAATAAAATTGGTCTGGAATAATCTCCTCTTTAAAAGGTCAGGTGAAATGCTGACCAATATCTTGACCTGAGAACTGGAAAACAGTTGATGCTTTATTCAGAGTATCTAAAGAGTGTCAACATGAAGGCAATACAGGTATAATTATTCATGTTCAGGGAGGCCTAGGCTATGCTCTTGAGAATGTGTGTGATGTTACAAAATCCAATCATAGACTTGAATTTTCAAGAGTGTTCTTTGGTGCTCTTAAGATGATAAAATGCTAACTTAATATGACAGCCTGGTATTTTATAGTTTTACAGATATGATTATACCAACCTTTACTATTTATTTTGATGAATAACTATGTTTACCATTATTTGAGTTATTTTAGAATTTTCTGAATACAATACTGTGACATTTACTATTTCTATCTTCTCTGGATTCAATGTGTGGACAGTTGAGTTTGTAGAATCTTGTTCTTAACCTTGGAGAGCAGGGAGTATTATCTTTCTATTATTATTATTTGGTATTTGTTGGTGTTTAATGTGCATGCTAAGTTGCTTCAGTCATGTCAGACTCTGTGCGACCCTTTGGACTGTAACTCTCCAGGCTCCTCTCTCCGTGGGATTCTCCAGGCAATACTGGAGTGGACTGCCATACCATCCATCAGGGGATCTTCCCAACCCTAGAATGAAATCCACTTCTCTTACATCTCCTGCCTTGGCAGGCAGGTTCTTTACCACTAGCACCACCCAGGAAGCCCTGTGGGTGTTTAATATCTATGTGTAAATTCTGCAGTGATTAAGAGTGTTCTGGTCACTCAAGATGGTTGTTCTCTTGCTCTCTGTACATCCCCTTGCCAGACTAGTGTCTGCTTCACCTAGATCTTAAGCACATGACTGACCTTCCTATATACTTGCCCCAGGCCCCAGCTGGTGATTGTTCTTATCAAAGGATGGTAAGGGGCGTGCCTCTCTGCTGGTTTCCCTGGAAACTGATGAGCCCACCTGACATCAATTCCCTAATAACTGGTAATCTCCCCTTTCTCCTGGTGTGAAGACTGCTGCCATGTCCTGCCGGCTTTCTGCTGCACAGGATGGGGCATCACTCTAGGACCTGACCTCAGATGGGTAAGCTCCCGGGTAAACCATTGATGTCTCTCTAACTGATTCTGGCCTCTTTCTTTGGCCTTGAACCTGGGCAAGCATGGGGCTTGTAGGCATAGAGTGAAGCCATACAAGAGTTCTTACAATGGTTAATACTATGGCAAGTAACACATTTCAGTATGCCTCAGATTCCTCCTTTGTAAAATAAACTTGGTACTGTACCCACTTCAAAAGGTTATTATGCTGACAAAATGAGTTATGATAGAAATGGAATGCTTTAGTAAATAGTAATCTCTTATGAGAAGAAGGTGGCCTTGGTCTGTGGTGGCTTGAATCAGGAATTTGATTCCTGGCCAGATATTGAGGTCGGGCAGTTCCAGGGAGAGTGCTGAATCCTAACCACTGGGCCACCATAGATAGTGGCAAGGTCCTGGCCCATGAGTTGTAGAAATGAATTTCCACATAAAGACGGAAAATAGTGAAACAAGTGTTTACTAGGAAGAAAATAGTACCACGCGTGTGGATAGACACATGGGCAGGCTCAGAGAGACTCATGCCCTCCTGGTAGTTTGAATCATGTTTATGGGGCATTTCTTCTGAGTTTCCTTTAACCAATCATCTTGCTTTGCCTGGTTCTGAGCCTGTATT